CTGAAGAATTGCTTAGTGCCTCACATTTGCAGAGGCTGGCTTTGAACTCACAATCCTCCTGCCTCAGCCTCCTGAGCTGCTGGGTTTACAGGCATGCATCATCACACCTAACCTCAAGATCAATTTTTAATTGCTCATGGTAAATTAAACTTTTATAAGACGTAGATACAATATATCTTTGAAAAGCTAAATTAGCTTACTAACTCCTAAATTAAATTGAGCGCAAGCCCTGAATAATGTTGGAGTGTACACTTTAAATTGGTGCACTGTATGTATGTGGATAATATCTCAATAGAGTAATTTGAAGTAAAAATTACTTATATAGGCTAACCTTTAAATGCTCTATCACCTCCTTAATGCCTCACAGATATGGTCCATGTCATTAGGATATGCAACTACATGGGGCTGGGGCTCAGTGGTAGAGCGCTCACTTGGCACATGTGAGGCCCTGGGTTCGATCCTCAGCACCACAAAAAATAAAATAAAAAGGGCTGGGGATATAGCTTAGTGGTAGAGCACCCCTAGGTTAAATCTCCAGTCCCAAAAAAAAAAAAAAAAAAAAGAGCAACTACACTGCTGTTTTAAATATACACTGTTGCCCTGTATGAATATACTGACATTTATTGCAGGCTTTATTACTATACAAGAACTTATTTCCAATTACTATATTAAACATCCATATATGTACACATCTTTGCCCACCTGTATGATTTTTATAGGAAATCAACAGAAGTGCATGCAAAGGGTCTGCACTCTGAAAAATGCTACATACTACCTGGCTATCTTCCAGAAAGGCCATACTAATTACAATCTTCCCAATGGAAAACAATAATACTTTTTTTTTTCTACATTTCTACCAATGCTGAGCATCATAAAACTTATTAATCTCTAACAGATTGACAATTGGAAAAAAAAAGTATTTTTTTTTTTTTGTGTGTGTGTGTGTATGTGTGGTACTGGGGGATGAACCTGGGAATGCTTTACCACTGAACTATATCCCCAGCCCTTTTTTTTTTAATTGATTTTATTTTTTTAAATACACAAAAGTGGAATGCATTATAATTCCTTTTTTTTAATATTTATTTTTTAGGTGTAGATGGACACAACTCAATGCCTTTATTTTTTTTATATGGTGCCGGGGATCGAACCTGGGTCGCGCTCTTGCTAGGTGAGGACTCTAACGCTGAGCCACAATCCCAGCCCCTACAATTCTTTTTTTTTTTTTCTTTCAAAACTTTCTTCTAAGCTCTTTTCCATGGAAAGTCTCACAATTTCCTTTGTGCATTGATTGCCATTTGGAAGTATAACTATAGATGTGTTTCTGTATTAGTAATATCACTATTTCAGGTAACAAAATATTTGAATACATTCAAGTAAGAGGAATATTTGAAGAAATAGTTGAAAAAACTTTGATTGCTTTTTCACATACATGAAATCATAAATGTATGTTAAAGGTCTTTTAAAATTTTTTTGTTAAGGGTCTTAATTAAGGTCTTTTATCTGTCAATAAATATGTTAAAGATTTTTTGAGCTTTTTTGGCAAATTTGCAGCTTAAGTCCTGTGATAAGTATGTTGTCTTAGTAAAGTAATATCTAAATACTTATACTTTGGTCCTCTCTTGGGAAACACCTGAAATAGAGACAGCCTCCTAAGATTCTGCTTTGAGGTTTCATGAAGACTGAATACATGCTGTGACTGGATAAGAGACAAATTTCGTTGTATTGTGAGATGTATCCAGTAAACTTGGTTATTCAGGAATTTAATTAAGAGTTCCTAGGAACTTAAAACTTAAGGTAGTTTTTATAGGCATCATGACTCAAAGGATTCTTTGTGTATTTATATACTGTATGTTTGAAGAAGGGACAGTTCTGACCTGAACTAGAATAAAGCAATGCCCATAGTTATCAGGACCAAAGGTGATATTTTAACGAAATACTGAAATTACTATAATATGAAGTTTTTAAATGCTTCTAGCTTAAAGTCACTAACGTTAGTATTATTTCTTAGACTATATTGTAATAAATTTGCCTTTTGTTAGGTCATATGATATTTAGTTTACTGGATTGCCCTATAACATGGGATTAGCCTGATCTATAGCACTGGAATTAACAGTCTAACAATAGAGATTTCTTTTCACTTTTTTTTTTTCAGTCTTTGGGAATCACACTTTGAAGATTAAATGTTCATAGTGACAGCAAGATGTGGTAGAAGGCACCTAGAATTTCAAGTCAGAAGATAAGAATTTAAGTACTAAATGCATTGAAACTAGATATGTGGTCCTGGAGCAGTGAATTCTCCTTTCTTAACCTTATTATCTTTACATGGAGAAAGAAGATCAACATTCCTACATCATAGGACTTAATGTTAGCACTAATAATTTTAATAGATGAATAATAATATATTGCTAGATTACTAAGAGGTTTGCAAAGTACTTTTATACAGATTTTTTTTTAATTTTTATTATTTTTTTTGTTGGTTGTTCACAACATTACAAAGCTCTTGACATATCATATTTCATACATTAGATTGAAGTGGGTTACGAACTCCCAATTTTTACCCCAAATGCAGATTCCAGAATCACATCGGTTACACATCCACATTTTTACATAATGCCCTATTAGTAACTGTTGTATTCTGCTACCTTTCCTATCCCCTACTATCCCCCCTCCCCTCCCCTCCCATCTTCTCTCTCTACCCCATCTACTGTAATTCATTTCTCTCCTTGTTTATTTTCCCATTCCCCTCACAACCTCTTATATGTAATTTTGTATAGCAATGAGGGTCTCCCTTCATTTCCATGCAATTTCCCTTTTCTCTCCCTTTCCCTCCCATCTCATGTCTCTGTTTAAAGTTAATCTTTTTTTTTTCCTGTTCTTCCTCCCTACTCTGTTCATAGTTGCTCTCATTATATCAAAGAAGACATTTGGTATTTGTTTTTTAGGGATTGGCTAGCTTCACTAAGCATAATCTGCTCTAGTGCCATCCATTTCCCTACAATTCTTATTACACTTATGGAGCACAATTTTTCATCTTTGTATATAAAATATGTTCATGCCAATTCATGTCTTTATACATGTACTTTGTGGGTTTTTTTGCATTACAATTCTTATTACACATAAATACTATAATTTTTCATATCTCTGTATATAAAGTAGTTGACACCCAATTTGTAACTTCATACGTGTACTTTGGATAATGATGTCCATCACATTCCACCATCCTTGCTAATCCCCTGCCTCCTCCCTTTCCCTTCCTCCCCTCTTCCCTATGTAGAATTCATCTATTCCTCCCATGTTCCCCCTCCTTACCCCACTATAAGTCAGCCTCCTTATATCAGAGAAAACATTCGGCATTCGATTTTTGGGGATTGGCTAACTTCACTTAACATTACCTTCTCCAACACCATCCATTTACCTGCAAATGCTATGATTTTATTCTCTTTTATTGCTGTTAAAATTCCATTGTGTATATATGCCACATTTTTTTTACCCATTCAACCACTGAAGGGCATCTAGGTTGGCTCCACAGTTTAGCTATTGTGAACTGTGCTGCTATAAACATTGATGTGGCTGTATCCCTGTATTATGCTGTTTTTAAGTCCTTTGGGTACAGTTCCCCAGCCCTTTTTTAAAAAATTTAAAAAAAAATATTTTGAGATATAGTCTCGCTAGGTCACCCCAAACTAGCCCTTGCAATCCTCCTGCCTCAGCCTCTCTAGTAGCTGGGATTACAGGTGTGCTCCACCTTGCCCAGCAAAAGGCAATATTTTTAAATGCATTACTTTGATTATTGGCTATAAGCAACAGTTCATAATGGTCATTTTATTATGAAATGCCTGTATTCCTTTGTCAATTATTTGTGATTTGTTTTCCTGACATGCTGCAAATTGTTTTTACTAACCTGTCCTCTAATTTTACCTAAGACATTTTTCCCTGTACTTCCGATACTTTAGACACTTAAATCTATTATTCTTTTCCTTTATGGTTCCTGAATACCTAGCTTTAACAACTTAATATCATAAAAACATTCCATATTTTCTTCAACTCTAACACTGTAATGTTTTATTTAAATAAATACCCCATTTGTTGCCTACTGATCTCCAATCATGTGGCATAGTAGAATTCTTTAAGTCTGACCTGTGAAATACATTTAAAAGTCAACTTACCTAATTGCTGAGCCCATTTTATGGCACTTCCAGTGTCTCCTGCATTGCCTTCAGCTAAGCATACAACTTCTTGTCCAATCTTCCACCCGATCAATGGATAAAAGCCTTAAAAAACAAGCAAACAATTGAAGTCATTTAATAGATACACAACTCAAAGAGAGATTGTTCCAATAGAACATGTAATTTGTTTACTTATTTATTTAGGTACTCAGAGGCACTTAACCACTTTATTTTTTATTGAGACATAGTCTCAACTTGCTTAGGGCCTCACTAAATTGCTGAGGCTGGCTTTGAACTTGCAATCCTCCTGCCTCAGTCTCCGAAGTCCTGGGATTATACGCATGTGCCATCTTAGCCATTTTAGAAAAATGCAATTTTATTTAAAAAAAAAAAAAAGGAAAGTGCCTATTAGGTCAGACCATTTGGATTCACTTTCCAGCCCTCTCTCACTAACTAGTTGTGATCTAACCTATTAGCCTGTTTCCTCCACTGTAACACGGCCTATGATAGAGAGCTTGCTGTAGGAGTAAACTGAGTTTACACATGAAAAGAAGTTAAAGAATTTAGACCAGTACCTGGCATATAACATGAACAATAAATGTTAAGATTTTTTTGCTTTTGTTTGGTTTGTTTGTTTTTGTGGTGCTGGGCTGATCTGAGGACCTCATGCATACTAGGCAAGTGTGCTAACACTAAGCTACATCCTCAGCTCCTAAATATTAGTTTATTTAGCTACAGGCCTGTCTATACCTCTAGATGCATGACAATAAATATTTTGAGAAGTAAAGGGAACCACAAGATCAGTTTGCTAGAAAGCTATGCTGCTGTATTTACCCATGGTTTCCAAACAAAACTCCTACATAGAAACAGCTCAGTATAATGATCAACATTTTCTACCTTTCATTTTCCCAGTTAGGGAGAAAGGAACAGCTGGATTAAGCATGGAAGACAGGAAAAAATATTTTTAAAAACAGATCTGAGCAACCATGTAAAGAAAACAGAGCCCAAATCAAGTGCCCCAGACCTCCAGGGAATAGTTCTACAATCTAGATTTCTTTGTTTGCACATCTGCAACTTCTTGGTAACTGAAATCAACTGTCATTAAGACTTGACACATGCATGCATCACTAGTTAACAACTATCACAAAAAAGTTCAGAGAAAGAATAATTCTTAATAAATAGGAAAAACAATTAGGATTGGGGATGTAATTCAGTGGTAGAATGTTTTTCTTAGCACACACAAGGCCCTGGATTCAATCTCTAGCACCACCAAAAAAAAAAAAAAAAAAAAAAAGGAGGGAGAAATCTAGAACTTTAATAAGTTTTATATATAACATGTAACAGATAAATATTTGGAAGGCTAACCAAACTACTCTGATCTTTTGATTTCCCTCCTCCTCCTCCTCCTCCTCCTGTAGTACTTGTTATTGAGCCCAGGGAGTGCTTACCATTGAGCTACATCCCTTGCCTGTTTTATTTATTATTTTGAGACATGGTCTTGCTAAATTGCCCAGGCTGGCATCAAATTTATAATCCTCCTGCCTCAGCCTCTCAAATATCACTGGGATTACAAGCCATGGGTCACTGCACCTGACTTGTATGGTTGATGTTATTGTTTTGATACTTGGAATTGAGTCCAGGGATACTTCACCACTAAGCTACATCCCCAGCCCCTTTTATTTTGAATGCTAGAGAGGGTCTTGCAAATTTACTTAGGGCCTTACTAAATTGCTGAGGCTGGCTTTGAATTTGAGAGTCTCCTGCCTTGGTCTCTCAAATCACTGAGATTACAGGTGTGCACCACCATGCTAACTCTCTTTCTTGGGTGTTTTTTGTTTGTTTTTGCATCAGGGATCAAACCCAAGGGCACTTAATCACCAAACCACATCCCCAGCCCTTTTTATTTTTCATTTTGAGACAGGGTCACACTAGGATGCTTAAAGCCTCACGAAATTGCTGAGTCTGGCTTTGAACCTACAATTCTCCTGCCTCGGCCTCACAAACCACTGAGATTAAAGGCATGCATCACCACACCCAGCCCTTTATTGTTTTTTAATGTTACTAACTTAAAGGAAATAAAGAAAATGGAGATTAATTGTTTCTAAGAATAATAATGTGTTAGATCATCCTTAACATAAAATGAGTAAATAGTATAAGGATCATCAAACACTTATGAATATAAAAACTGATATTAGACCAGAATAAATTCTAATTATTTACCTCCAACAGTATGTTGAGGGTCGTTTCCAGTATTAATATCCAAAAAAGTCCCAGTTCCCATGGTTAATTTCACATCTCCTGTCTGGAAGCAGCACTCTCCGAACATGGCTGATTGCTGGTCGCCGACCTACCAAAAGTGTTCAAATGTAAGACCCACGACCCTTAGCAGTGGTCCATTTTATTATTTTTCACTGCCTCACTTATTGCAGTCTTGCAATTAAATATTTATGTTCTCATTTCACATAAAAAAAAAATAACATCCCAAAGAGAACAGGGAGCAAAAACTACAGGACAGGAGTCTCTCTAGGATTAGCATCATGTGCATAACTAATGTGCCTTGGTAATTTTTATTTTGGGGATTTTTTTTTTTTGGCCTCAGGATTTTTTAATGGGAAACCTACTTCATTACTTTTAAGCATCAGATAAATAATCTTAGAAGTAAAGGTCAAAATAAAAACTGTATAGAAAAAAAAATTTAAGATTTTTTTTTCATTTTCATCTTACAGAGAAAAATTCACTAGTCAAAGTAACTGACTGCACAAGTTTCTCTTTTATTAAGAACGATGGATGTGGGGGGGTGCTAGAGATGTGGCTCAAGTGGTAGCGCACTCGCCTGGCATGCGTGAGACACTGGGTTCGATTCTCAGCACCACATAAAAACAAAATATCCACCTAAAACTAAAAAATATTTTTTTTAAAAAAAAAATGATGGGTGGGGCTGGCGTTGTGGCTCTGTGTTAGAGCACTCCCCTAGCATGTGCGAGGCCCTGGATTAGACCCTCAAGCACCCATAAAATTAAATACATAAAATAAAGGTACTTGTCCAACTACAACTAAAAAATAAACATTAAGAAAAAAGGATGATGGGTGCGGCTGAGGATATAGCTCTGCAGCAGAGCACTTGCAGGAGTGGCTGGGTTCTACCCTCAGCACAATTTTTAAAAAAGGAATGATAGGTAAATGTTTAAATAGAAACAGACCTAAGTCAAAACCATCCCTTTCCCAGCCATATATATGTATGTGTATTTTTTTCTTCTCATCAGCACCAGGGTGATTTAACACAGGAGTCCTTTACCACTAAGCTACATCCCAGCCCTGAGACATGATCTTGCTAAATTGCCCAGGATGACTTTTAACTTGAAATTTTCCTGCCTCAGCTCCTGAGTAGCTGGTTTTACAGGAGCCACTCAGCTCCAACTATATATTTTTGTACGAAAATTATATCATTTTGTTAATATAAGTAAATATAGCACACATACAGGAATATTTATTCATTTACATTTATTAAAATTTTTTTCAGTGCTGCCTATTGAACTCAGGGCCTCAGATAAGCACTTTACCACTGAGAAATAGCCCTAATCCCTAATCCTACTTTATTTATTTATTTATTTATTATTACAATGTTGCTATGTTGTCCAGGCTAGTCCAGAAATTCTGGGCTCAAGTGATCCTCCTGCCTTACCATTCCAGGTGAACCTATGCAACTGGCTTTATAGGACAATTTTTTTTTTTTTTTTTGGTGGTGGTGCTGGGATTTAGCCAAGGGCCTCATGCTTGCCAGGCAAGATGTCTACCACTGAGCCACTTCTCCAGTCTTATATGGCAAGATTTTAAAAACTAAGATTAATCTAGGGCTGGGGAATGTAACTCAGTGGCAGAGCACTGGACTAGCATGTTCAAGACCCTGGGTTCAAGACTCAACACAATAAATAAATAAATAAATAAACTTAATTAAATAAAAAATAAAACTCATATAAATAACCTTTTTTTAAAAAATTATTCCAGTTATACCTTAATCTAATGCTGAACCTAACCCTCAAGTGAGTAAGACTCACTCTTCCTAAATGACCATGAAGCTGTAACTAGGGATTAAATTCCCTTTCCCTTGTCTGCTCTGTCAGCTACTATGGAGACTGTCCATCTAGGGACACCGAGTCTCTGCCTCCTGCTTATGCTGCTACCGAAAACAAAACGCAACATTTGAGTTTCTTTGCAGCCTGATAACAGGTAGCAAATTCTGGTGGTTTTCCAAATTTTGACTCTTGATCTAGCTAGAGAAAAAGAATATACTGATGAAAGGAACTTTATAAATCAAACATAACAAAATTAAAAATTTTTTACACCAGCTTTTATACCAGTAGATGCTTGGTAAGGATTTTATAAAACTCAAATACTACTTTCTCTAATTTGAATTGTTCTATTACTTTTGTGAATATATTGTACCCAATACAAATACTGGCCCCATCATTGTTTTTATCTCATAATATCAAATATAAGCCACACATTACTCAGAATACATCTTTAAAAAATTTAACACACTCTTTCTGGAAGACAATATATAAGTAAGTTGGAAAAGATCATGAGGTGCTTCCATGACAGAGGCTGGTCCAGTGGTCCCCTTACTGAAATACAGAGGATACTTGTTCATGTCCAGGACCCTTGAACTTGAAAAGGAAAAGGATACTTTAACTGATTTTTCTTTGGTGCTTGGATGGAACATGGGTACACTAAGTAGAGCATGCCAGTCAAGTGCTCCACCATGAGCTACACCCCAGCCCCGTTAGATTACTTTGACCTTACTCTGCCAAGGACGTCTGTCTCTCTTAAAGTGAGTTCCAGATATTCATATATTCATTTAGTTTCTACAATACAAAGAGAAACCCTCGTGTTTTGCACTTACCAAGGCAACTATTGGTATAGGCACACCAAATATCTCTTCATCCACTGATCCAAAATTGTGGCTTCAAATAAGATTGATTAAAAAGTTAGTTATAGCTCTAGAAATATTAACTCTAAAATTCAGCAAACTGTTTTCAGCAGAGGCCAACAAGTCAGATATGAACATACAAACACCTCAGGTATGTGATAAAATGCTTTTCCCCAACTAAGCAAAAATCTTTCAAGGACAATGTTGCTGATTTTCACGTCTGATGTTCATTATTACCTGGTGTCCTTCACGGGAGGCAGGAGAGAGAGTGGTACAGAAATCATGGAGGTAATGAGCCTGCTCCAACACATCTATACATGAAAACACAACATTAGAACACACATATCTACACATTTCAAACCTACGTAACCATCTCAAAACACTATATTGTACAAAATAATCACATACAAGTTTCACTAATTATAATAAATTAATTAAAAAAAAACTAAAACAACCCCACCTAAATCTTTCAAAAATTGGCAATTGAGAAAGAAGAAATCATCTTTACCTCATATGGATCAAAAAGTCCAGTTGTACTGGCATTTGAAAAATCCGTGGCATACTGAGAACCTAAATTACATGGGAAATACATTTATTATCAGATAATGTAAATAAATATCTATCCTTAGTTTATGATCTATTCCTTTGTCTACTTTCAAATTCATTCCAAAATGAGTATTTTTCCAAAATAGTATCCAGAGAAATTTCCCTCTTGATATTTGTGAACTTTTATAGCTTATGAAAGCACTTTCATGGACAGTGCCACTTTCTGATCCCCAGTTTGAAGATGAGAAAAGAGGCTCAGAGCTGCTAAGTGAATGCCTACAATAGGTTATATCCAACTGCAGTGTGGCAGATGTGGTACTCAACTCAAGTTTTACCACTCTGAAAACTGAGATTGTTACCCAGTCTTATATTTGAGGTTCCATCATTATTTTATTTTATTGGTACTGGGGATTGAACCCAGTGGCACTTAACCACTGAACTATATCCCTAGCCCTTTTTTACATTTTATTTAAAGACAGGGTCTCCTGAGTTGCTTAGGGCTTCACTAAGTTGCTGCGGCTGGCTTTAAACTTGTGATCCTCCTGTCACAGTCTCTCAAGCTGAGATTACAGGTGGGCACGATAGTGCCTGGCTATCACAATTTTAAAACCATCCTCCTTTTAAAACAGATCTGAAATACATCTAGCTTTACCACAACATGTAGTGGACATCAAAGAGTAGTATGTCTGGGATATAGAAAGGAAAAGGTTAACTTCTACTCTATTGTAGGCAATCCTCTCTCAGTCTAACTTCATTTACTTGAGATAGATCTATCAGGTCACCTTTACCTTTTGTGAGCTTGTATAGCAACCAGGTATCAATAGTCCCAAAGCAACAATTTTCTTCTTCAACTGCCTTCTGTACCTTGAAAATAAAACAGCATAAAATCAATTCAGTGCAGATCAGTAGATATATACTATAAAATTTAATGTATTCATGTAAGAGCAATTTTATAATATATTCCAAACAATTTTAAGCAATTATCATAGTGTGAGATTTATGAGGGAGTAGCTTTTATTTTCTGTATGGTATTTCTGAAGGGCTTTAAGCTTTATACCAAGCATGTGCTACTTTTGTAACTAAAAATAAAAGCAAAGCACATATTTTTTTAGTTTAGATATACAAATACACAAGTGTAGCCTAAAGCAGGGATGTCATGTTGCGACTAAAGGGCCAAATCGACTCCATTGTCTGTTCTTGTACAAGTTAAGAATGGTTTTTAAAGAGTTTGTTTATGCAGTGCTTAGGATTAAACCCTGGGCCTCATGAATGCTGGACAAGTAATCTACTACTACTGAGCTATACTCCTATTCTTTTTTTTTTTTTTTTTTGTGGTGCTGCGGATTGAACCCAACGCCTTGTGCATACAAGGGAAACATTCTACCAACTGAGCTATATCCCTCGGCCCCTATTCTTTTTAATACCCCAAAGAATAATATTTTTGAGGGGGTACCAGGGATTGAATTCAGGGGCACTCGACCACTAGGCCACATCCCCAGCCCTATTTTGTATTTCATTTAGAGACAGGGTCTCACTGAATTGTTTAGTATCTCACTTTTGCTGAGGCTGGCTTTAAACTCATGATCTTCCTACCTCAGCCTCCTGAGCCACTGGGATTATAGGCATGTGCCACCACACTCAGCTAAGAATAATATTTTATGACATATAAAAACTATATACAATTTGAATTTCAGTGTCTATAAATAAAGTTTTCTTGGAATCGAGCTATGGTTTTTTGCTGATAGATTACCTATGGCAGCATTTGTGCTACAATGGCACAGCAGTTATGACCCAAATCTTATGGCTCTCAAAGCCCAGAATATTGCTATCTAGCCATTAGAGAAATACATGCCAATACCTGGCCTAAAGCATGGTAGTTTTTGTGTGTGCAAAGGAAAGAACCCAGGGCCTCTGCACGTACTAGGCAAGTACTTTACCACTAAACCACATCCCTAGCTCTTTTAATATTTTGGAGACAGGGTCTTGCTAAATTGCCCAGGCTGGCATTGAATGTGCAATCCTCCTGCCTCAGCTTCCAAAGTAGCTGGGATTACAGGCAAATCCCAGGGGTCTATGACAATGCAAAAAAAAAAAAAAAAAGAAAAAGAAAGAAATAATAATGGTAGACCAGTAACAATGAAAATGTAATTATTTTCAAAAGACATACTTGTATACACAGAACAACCCTCAACAAAGATATCTGATAGGCAACTAGAATAACTGAATTTAGCAATATTACTGAATTAAAGGTCAGGTCAGAAAAATAAGTTAATTTTTAACATAGCAGATCAAAAAAATTGAGAAACAATAACTAGAAAGATTTGTTAAAATAGATATAAAAGAAATCAATTACCTAACTCTACAAAACATTTCAAAGAATCCTACAGAGACAATAATGGAACAATATTTAGAGAATTAAAGAAAAATCTAGGGGCTGGGGATGTGGCTCAAGCGGTAGCGCCTTTGCCTGGCATGCATGCGGCCCGGGTTCGATCCTTAGCACCACATACAAAAAACAAAGATGTTGTATCCGCCAAAAACTAAAAAAAATAAATATTAAAAAAAAAAAAAAGAAGGGCTGGGGATGTGGCTCAAGCGGTAGCGCACTCGCCTGGCATGCCTGCGGCCCGGGTTCGATCCCCAGCACCACATACAAAACAAAGATGTTGTGTCCGCCGAAAAACTAAAATAAATATTAAAAATTCTCTCTCTCTCTCTCTCTCTCTCTTAAAAAAAAAAAAGAAAAATCTAAAAAAGAGGGATTAAATGAGTGGTAACTGAAGGGATAGGGTGTAGCTAGAGGAGGTGGGAATTGAGACATGGCTTTGGAGTACTTATTTATTATCTGTAGAGTAGAGTCTGTCTCAGCTTCTTGATCATCCTGCAAGCTACTTCCCTCTGCCACACTCTTCAGCCACGATGTCCTGCCTCACCTTAAGCCCTAAGGAATGGAGCCTGCCGTCTATGGTTTGAGGCTCCTGAAACCCTGAGTCTTTAAATAAACCTTTCCTCCTCTACAGTTGTTCTGGCCAGGTCCTTTTATTTGTAGCAGCAACAAAGCAGACTAAAACAACTTATGAAAGGCAAAAAGAGGGTGTACACAGAATAATATCTTCATGAGCTCAGACTAGGAAAGAATTATCCAAAAGGTCACAAAAAAGATCATATATTAGGAATAATAAACTCATTACTTTAAAATTAACAACTCCAGCTGCCCCCCCAACAAAAAACATATCACAGAAGGCAAAGGAAAACTGGAGAAAACATTCATAACACATACCAAGCAAAAATATCCATAAGTGTGAGGAATATGCAAGGAAAAAAGAGAAAACAGTTTTTAATTGTAGAAAGGAGACTCCAATAGGGCTGGGGTTGTGGCTCAGTGGTAGAACGCTTGCCTAGCACGTGCGATGCCCTGGATTTGATCTTCAGCACCACATTAAAATAAATAAATAAAACAAAGGTATTGTGTCCAACTACAACTAAAAAATAAATATTTAATAAAAATAGAAACTCCAATTTCCTGAATGATGTATAAAGAGTATATAGAAATCATTGCTTCCATTCTTATAAGAAAAAAAAAAAGCTGAGAAAACTGAAAATCAACAACTCCTCTTTGATAACATCCCAGAGTTGAGGTCACAGAGCAAATACCTGTCCTGAAAACTACAAAGACGGGGCTGGGGTTATGGCTCAGTGGTAGAGCGCTTGCCTAGCACATGTGAGGCACTGGGTTCGATTCTCAGCACCACATGAAAATAAATAAAATAAAATTGTGTCCACTTATAACTAAAAAAATACATATTTTTTTAAAAAATGAGCAACAACCCCAATGCTAAAAAAATTTTTTTTAGAAAGAAAACTACAAAGACATAGGTGAATACAGAGAATAAGAGCTTGCCAGAAGTATGTGCCACTGCATGAAGCATGGTAGGAACACTTAAATGGTACCAGATTAATTGCCATGAACTAGCTTGAGAGATACAGAGTCCCCTCTCTGAGGGTGTGCTTCTTGCAGGGAAAAGGGAAAGGTAATCATTGGGAAATGAGCCTCAAGTGCTCCGTACTCCTAAAAAGTGGTCTGCAATCAGGAAGCTGTATTGCCAGAGCCTAACCAACTTCAGTTTTATTGGAGCCTAATGGATGCAGGGACAGAGCTATGTTCAATTTCAGCCCCTCTTGCCTTCTTGGCTCACCTGAAAAGGTATTTGTGAAGGGACACAAGTTCACTGAAAGACTGGGACCCAATCACAGGATTGTAGAATGCTTCTGCTCCCCACAATCTTAACTACAACATCACCAGAGTTCTGAATTACAACAGGGAATTGTAGCTAAAAGAACAGGAAACCTCAGACCTTATTTAAGAAGCCCCTAGTTAGGCATGGTGGTACATACCTACAATCCCAGCTACCCAGAGGCTGAGGCAGAAGGATCACAAGTTTGAGATCAGTGTGGGCAACTTAGGTTGACCCTATCTCAAATTTTTAAAAAAGGGCTGAAGCTGTAACTTAGAGGTGAGTATTTCCTAGCAAGTGCAAGGCCTAGGTTTAATCCCTAGTACTATTAAAAAGAGAGAGAGAGGGAAAAAAAAAAGTCATCTCTAGGGAAACCCAAACAGGCAAAGGAAGATAAAAACAAGAACACTAAGGAAAAGTTTAGAGTGAGCTATACCATTAATGTAGATTGGACATGTTTGTGTCATTCCACAATGTCAGAATTTACAGGATAACAACACAGGCACAAGCTACATCAACTTCATAGGCTTCAATTCTCCACATCCTGACAGTTACCTTGGTGTTCTCCACAGCCTAATTCCTGAACAGATTAATATAAAACTTCACGCAGAAAGCCTAGTTATCTAGATGGAACTGGAGACCATCATGCATAGTGAAATAAGCCAATCCCCAAACACCAAAGGCCAAATGTTCTCTCTGATATGTGGCTGCTAACCCACAATAATGTGGAGTGGGGAGAATAGAAGTTCACTAATTAGACAAAAGGGAATGAAGGGAAGGGAGGAGAGAGGAATAGGAAAGACAGTAGCCTGAATCGGACATCACTTTCCTATGCTCAAACATGAATAAAACACCAGTGTAACTCCACATCATGTTCAACCACAAGATTGGGAAGTTATACTCCATTTATTTATATATGCCAAAATACACTGTTATATATATCTAAAAACGAACAAATAAAAGAAAGAAAGCCTATTTACCTCATTTCTTTTTTCCTATTTATTTATTTTAGTTGTAGGAGGACACAGTACTTTTGTTTTTATGTGCTTCACACATGCCAGGTTTCACACATGCCAGGCGAGCGCTCTACCACTGAGCTCCAGCCCCAGCCCTTTACCCTAAATATCACATTTGGCTTTCAGCAAAAAAACAACAAATGGCAAGCTAAAAAGCAGAACAAAATCTGAAAGATCTGAGGGACAAGGCAAGCATCAGAACCAGACTGCAATAAGGCAGAGATTTTGGAATTATCAAAAAAGGTAAAATGCCTAGGACTAATATGCTAAGGACTCTAATGAAAAAAACAGATGGGTAATGTAAACAAAGATAAGGAAACTCTAAGAAAGAAAAAGGAAATGCCAGAAATCAAAAACACTAGCAGATGGTCTGGAGTTGTGCTCACTAGTGGAGCCCTCACCTAGCATGGGTGAGGTACTGGGTGTGATCCTCTCAGCACCACATAAAAACTAAGTGAAAAAAATTAAGGTATTGTGTCTGTCTACAACTAAAAAAAAAAAAAAATACTAACAGAAATAAGAAAAGCCTTTGAAACTCATCAGAGGACTGGAAAGAAAATCAGAGATCTTGAAGATATGTCAATAGAAACTTCCAAAATTAAAAAGCAAAGAG